TCTTAAACACATACACTCTCACGCACACGCACACACACACGCACATATATATGTATTTATCTTTGTATGTATATCTACACTCAGACATACGTTTATGTATTTAAGACTGTATTCATATTTTTTTTCCTTTATGGTATGCATATTATTATATGAATGGCTTATTTGTACGTGTTTACCTAATTTCATATACAAGTCCTAGTTCTGTTCATCTGTATGTAGTGTTCTCCTCTGCTGTTGAATCATATGGTTTCGATAGGTATTTTGCTTGCTACGAGTACTGCATACAAGTTTAAATGCTTTGTAGAGTTTTGTAAATTTATTGTTTTATCAACCTTCATTATCAGCTACAACTATCTTATACATGTCCGTCGAATCGCAATCGGAACCTGAAGTAAATCTCTCTGCTCCGCTTGCCCACTTTCACAGGTACTACTGCGACTATTGTGACGCATATCTGACGCACGATTCGGTAAGAGTTTCCTCACCCTCGAATAAAGCGCAGCCAGAAATGCTATAACTATTTGTTGATGATGTGATGTGTTCTTGTCTACGGGACAACATGTATGGATGTTGTTCATATACGCTGTTTGTAATACCTGGGCTATTTAGTTATATAAAGTACAACACGAGGAGTGATGCTTTCAGGCGTGGAGAACTTACTATGCTCGTGGACGCACTACAGGAAATGGTATAGCTTAGACTACCCCAGGCCGCATCGCTTGCCTGAACGTAATTTGTGATATAGATATCATGTCGGTTTGAGAATGAGAATTCGTATTCATAGATGCCTTTGCATCCGGGGAATCATATACCCACAAAAATGTGCCTTATAGACATCGTAGACACGCACGCCGGTATAGCTTTCACATCGATAGCTTCATCAGTATATCGTATTAACTTGTTAGGCACGTAGTACCATTGTCAGTCACTTATTACTATTTGTTCTTTTCTTTATTCATTTAGGCGTCCGTGCGGAAAACACACAACCACGGTAGAAAACATAAAGACAATGTCCGTATATACTACCAAAACTGGGTAGAAAAGACCGGCATGCCGCCGCCTCCCGGTGGTACGTGTTGCGAACTATGTGGGACATATATATAACGCGTCAACATGTTGCTTTCAGACTAGCGAATATATTTTGACGTACTCGCGTGTTCATCTTCGTTTTCATATGCGTGGCTCCAATATGTATGTGATGATGGGGAGCTTTTCGCACATTGTTAACTACGTGATTTACCAGTGATAAGATTATATTTGCATTGCCGTGTTTATCTGTGCTTGCAAATGACGTTATGTGCTACGCTGCAGTGATTACATCGAATATATCGGCCGCACCGGTCGACCGTAGCGCAGAGTGTGAGATCCGCGTATATCTTTGAGCTACAAGGATCATTTTTACTCGCCGACAATATCTGAATTAATTTTCCCTCTCTCTCCACTACACTGGCAGGTATGGCGGTAGGGGCGGGGATGGGACCTCCCATGGGCATGGGACCACCGATGGGTATGGGTCCAGGTACGTTGAAGGCTTTCCCAGCTGCTGTTTCTGTTTGGAAATACATCTCATGCACGCACTTTACAACAAATATGGGCGAATATATAGCCCGGACTCTTAACCCCCCCCGCACACGCACCTTATAGCAAGGAACAAGAATGCGCACTTACGTCGCTCATGCGTACAAGGGATAGGTTCGTATCGTAGCATTGCCAGACTGGTGCGCTTGTAGCGTTCTCCTATAGATGGTTGCTTTCTGCATGCCCTTTGATGCACTCTTTGTTCAGAATTGGTGTGAGTGAATCCTAATAGTCCCTAGACTGTTGTTATATGTAGCCGGATAGGTATTTGTCGACTACAGCTACGCCCGTCTCAGAGGAAATCAAGAGCTAGTCTGTAATTTACTATGGTGTTATCTTTAAAGTACACGAAGGGAGGTTGCGTTACAATTGGTCCCCACCGTGCGATGTTACACAGGGGAGCGTTTCTGAAAACAGCATGTGTATCAATTCAATTTTCTTTCACTTTGAAAATACCTGTAGGTATGATGCCTGGTATGGGGCATCCTATGGGCATGAATGGCATGGGTATGATGCACCCAGGCATGGGACCGCCTATGGGAATGGGTCAACCAATGATGGGCATGGGACCGCCCGGCCAAGGTAGGTAGCCGCATTTGGTGGAAGACAAAAATGCTGTTTCTCAGATTCGATTAAGAGTTATCCACACGCATACCTTTATGGTGTGGGGTACATACGAGTTGGTTTATAGTGTATCTGATTTTGGTTTTACCATAATATATATGAGAGCAATTCTGTTTGTGTTGGGATGTACCTCATGTAGATCCACACTCCTCATGACACGGGTTTAGAGAGTATTAACAACAAACTTCACGAACAAACTTCACCAATAAACTTCACCACTGATTCAAAGCTCAGACTCTGGATACTAATCATGTTAACTTCGATTCCAATCACAGGACCACCACAGTACAACAGAGGATCGTACGATGGGCAAATGCAACAAAATCAATTCTCGCAAGGTAAGTGTACCGTTTGCACACTTGGCCTATCGTATCGCAGCCTTTTATATCGATCTTCGGTTGGTTTAATTGATGGTGAAATTTAATCTGTCAGAGATGTTCAAGATAAAGAAAATTGGTTATTTGTAAGCAGAAACGCACTGAAGGGTGTTCACATCGCAGTTGTCTGTGTTTTTCTTCGTGTTGGCGACAGCTGCTGCGTATTCGCTATTCCCTTGTTGTACAATATTAAAGCAAAGTGGTGCATCCAAATCTGCTACTGAAATGCCTTTTTTTTGGCTTAAGAATTTGATTTCATCTGTGTGTTCGTCTGTGCATATAAATGGATTTAAGCGGCATTTGCGCACCTCATACGAGAGAAAATCATGCACATGCTCACGCAGGTTTTCCAATAGTCGTCTGCAGTCACCTTGTTTGCTGCAGTCTCAGTCTTTCTAGTTATCAGAGGTGTGATATCGATGGTCATAGTTGTAAGAGGTGTGATATCGATGGAGCAGTACATCAAGCATAGTCGCACAGCAATGTCCTTAAATTATCACCAATGCCCATACTGGATTCGTTAATCGACTATCGGTTGGTATTCTGCAATCAATCGCGTATTTCCAAGGACCATTGCGAATCAATATAATATCCCGAATTCATACAGATTGACCATCTATAAGCACAAGTACATATGATTTCTTCAATCCCTAGAATGCTTTCAAGCATCGATCTCATATATGCTTACGTGCTTTCTGTTTCTGTTGTTACCAATCAGGTCCACCTGGTGCTGGGCCTCCCGGTTTTATGATCCGTTAGAGGATTCTCGCCGCTTCGTCAACTGCGTTACACGCAGATGCAAACTAAGACTTCGGCTCCCAAATATTATGTATATAGACAACAACCCATTAAAAACATAAATCCATGCACACCAGATTTATATGTATATATAATTTCTTTTTTGGTGATATCAATACGTACAATTTGCACTGCAGATGATCAGTCGTAGCGCAATATCATATATATTGGTACATTTTGAAAGTTATTAAGATAAAGCTTGTTGACTTATCAAATACTATACTCATGTCGTACATGGTCACAAAAGATTGGCAATCAATATGTATGCCTCGATAAGTAACGAATAGGTAAGTGTTGTTTGTATGTGAAAGTAAAGTCACCCACAGTACGGATGATTTTCTTTTCGTAAATATATAGTAATATACATACAAACATACACACGCTCACACGCGTACACACACACACACCAACACAAATACACACAGGGCGTTTCACAAGCAGAAATACAGACAAACATACGCACACACAAACACGCATACACACACACACAGAAACACATGCACGCACACACACGCACAGAAACACACGCCACACACACATATATATATCTATATACATACATACATCTACACATCCACACACACACACACACACATATATATATATATATTATATACATATATATACACACACATTTATATATACATATACATATATACACGCACTATATATATATATATAAACCTATATATACTTATATATATATATATACATACATACATACACAAATACATACATACATATATATTACAAGATATATATATATGGATACAAATATGAATATATATATATATATGTTAAATATACACATATACATATATATATTTTAAATATATAAATTATGTTATATATCTAAATCTATATATCTGTATATATATACATATATATATACATACATATAGATATACAAATAAATATATATATACATATATAGCTGTACCTATACATATATATATATTTATACATATATACATATATAGATAGATAGATATATATGTATAAATATATAGGTACATATATATAGAAATCATATAGCTATACAGTAAACATGTGTATCCAACTACAATTTACAATGTTAAATACTGATGTATACATGTATATATTTGGAGGTACGGTGCGTTATGTACCAATGTTAAATACTGATGTATACATGTATATATTTGGAGGTACGGTGCGTTATGTACAGTCAAAATAGATAAGATTCAAAGAAACGATGAAAACTGTGCCTGGTTGTGTTGGCAAAGAAGCATATCTGCACAATTGGAACTACTGTACACACGCAGGCTATTATGAACAGCCATTATGGGCTCAGTACGTAATGTGTTGCCCACGAGGCATGAGAAATCAGTGATTCTCGAGCAACAAACTCGTTAACCTGTACTCGCGTTTCCAACAGATTGTACAAAACTCACGGATGTGTTGCCACAGTTGGGCACTTGCCCACGACTCGATTGGAAGTATATTCTCTGCTCCAAATTATTGAAAGCACATACGACTAAATTGCCTTTTCAATTTGATAAAGACGGTCACTATTGTGACTAAATTTGACAACGCTGAATGTTAAGCAGTTCAGAACGTACAAATAGGACAGAAACTAACCTTCCAATTTATTAGTGAGAAACAGTTGCAATCGGGTCCAATCTACACCCAGGAATTCCAACTGAATCGAACCTAAAACTAACTAAAGGACGATCACATCACCCTCCCAAGATCCGAGATATCCATTGACGTACAGCAAATTACTTCTTTTTGGGACCCTGTACCAGAGGAGCACCGATGTTTTTACCACGGAGTTTTACGCCAAGAGCTCGTTCCAGCTTTCCAAGAACCTAAAATATATCAGAGAAACAAATTTTATAGCTGAGTACGTGAGAAGCTATGTTGGCGTTGACTAGCAACGCGTAATTTATTGAAAAATTGCAGCAGGAAAATAAACATATTGGAACGTGCTTGACCTAATATGCAGTGCCCACCTACCCATGCAGCGCACGCGAGTCACAAGCACAGTTCAATATATGATAAAAAATAACAAAATCAAAAATCGATGTACGATAGTACCCCACCAGGATACATGTGGGTGTTGTTAACCTTCTAGATTGTACCATGTAGTCTACTGTGAGATCAGATCGAAGGATGACGTACAAGGCTCACATGCCACATAAGACCAGGTAAAGGTATATCTTGGGTATCGCAACTCGATAGGGATATGTTATATCTGTAGAAAACACACCACTCTTGTGTGGGTTTGAAGAAGACGTACCTGATTATTTGGAATGGCCTTTCCAGATTCATATTCGTTGACAATTTGAGGTTTCTCATTGACTTTCTGTAAGCGACGACACAAGTAAACATGTAAGTGTATGGACGTGTGGAGTACATATATACATAGTCCTCCACTTCCCAATGGTTTAATTCTCAAAAGCAGAGTCGCACATTGCCAAAAGTGCACCAAGCGTGAAAAAAAAAGTTCAGTGGACAGAGTATAGATACATATGGTCGACATGATGTGTACTATGCCCAACGCTGACAGGAGTTGAGGTTACCAAAGCCACCAAGGCACGTTCGTCAGTGCATGTGTAATTTACAGACATGTCATTTTGCCTCGAATATCCAATACGCTACAACTTGCTGCACTTGCGAACGCTCATCTGACGGGAACACAATTTAATCCAGCACATCAATGACCACGTCTATACACAAATATGAGTGTATGTGGAAATACATTGGAAGAAACAGACCACTTTCAAGATTGCGTATAGGCTGACACAAAAAAAAAGGCGATAAATAAACTAGCAGACACAGAAGAAAAAAAACGAGCGTCACGAAATATGCATTCTATTCATGACCAGGCTAAACGAGCGTCACGAAATATGCATTCTATTCATGACCAGGCTTCAAGTACATACCGTTGCCAGCTCTTTCTGTGACATGCCCTTGGCTTGTCTCGCTTGCATAAGTGCCTTCGATACGGTTACACTGACAGTAGCATCTGTGAAAGTGACATAGATAGATATAATGAGAAATCAAGCGGCATCGGTTTCAACAGAACGTGTCGAGGCCATATAGTACGTCTCTTAGAACGAATGATGATTCTGTGATCTAACTTCAGATACATTCAGAGCAACATTAAAATCGCAATCCAAACAATTGAGGAATTGAACGGTCGCTTTGTCACTTTTCAGGACCAGCAGACTCTATGCAAAGGGAAAGCATTTCATAAACTAACCCGTGCATACACCCACTACATGTAGCTTTTCAATGATCGTATTGATTAAATGGTGTGCAGGTGATGCGTGGTGCACTTGGCCACTGATTCGGTCTAGGTGAAAGAAATACACATGTGAAATACAAACGAGGCATTGTCAAAGCGATTGACGCACCCTATCATGAGGATGAAGTAAGTGCATCATACTTGTAGCGGTAGATAAGGAACATGCAAAACATGCATGCACCAACTTTCAAAAGTAACTTACGTTTCAGCTCTTCCGTCTCACGATCGAGCTTGGCGGTATCCTTTGTAGATTGGTGCTGTCTGTTTCCAGAGCCATTGACTGCAGAGACAAATAAATATATTTTTGATTGAGGAATGGAGACAGACGAGAGTGGTTAATATAAACCTATTGGTCACCGTGTGCTTGAAGAAAGCGATATAATATAAATCTATTGGTCACAGTGTGCTTGATGAAAGTGACATGATATAAACCTATTAGCCATAGCGTGCTTGATGATCACATATGAGCCGAATGAAAGCAATCACTATAATGAGTGACATTGACATGTATAGTCAGCCAGACTGGGTATCACTGAATATATATACCCCGATATATGATCATACACACATACTTATAGTATATGTGCTTTTCATCAATATGTTCAAGCTTGAATATAGTACACGAGTTCGGCATTGAAATGAGCTCCTGATTATACGCCTGCGCACTTTGAGACAGGCAGATATATCTGTTTAGTACATACATTTATGCTCTTATGCGCATTACCGCTGTGCCCTTGATCACACATCTATGCATCCTGAGGGATGCAGATTTATACCGGCAAGTTTTGTGGACATAGGGTCGTATTCATGGGGAAGTATACATACTTGTGTAACTAATGTTTGATACTGGGCCAAAGTGTGAGTGGTATGATGATGGTCGGCGAGTACTTGCTGTCACACTTATGTGTGCGTACTTGAAAATTGAAGTTACTCTAATGCCACGATAAGTGCTTTTACTAGCCCGATGTACTCTAGTAAGCTATAAATGCATTGATGGTGAAAATAGCCTATACATTGTACCAGTTTAATATGGGATGAAAACCTCCTGATATACATATACATATACCTGTTTATATATACAGAAATAGATGAATACACACCCGACATTTATACATATATATAAACTGACATTACCATACATATGTATACACATACATACACACGTATATTAAATAAATATATATATATACAAACAAACAAACATACAAATAAACAAACATATATATCAATATGCATCATATACATATACATACTTACACACACACACACACACATATATATATATATATACATACATACATACATTTATATACATATATATATATATATATATAAACATAAATTATACAATTATTCTTAAATCTTTACATAACACAAAAGGACAATGCACAAATAGCTGCCAACATAAGTTGAAAAATGGTATTGAATATTCAATAAAGATGCTCGATTCAGCAGTACTTCACTATGCGATCACAGAGGTACGAGCAATATTTTCTAACGGAAGGACTTCTGTACAGAGGGATGGGTGTATTTAAGAATTTAACAGCGCGTATGTGATCGACATAAGCAACCTTACACAGCCCTCAATACACGCAACCGAATACAAAACATGTAATCCAGAGCCTAACGCAGGGAAATAAAAGTACACCAGAAAAAAAGGCATAATTTAAAATGTGATGCGATCAGATATAATGTGAGACACAAGTAATGAAGAAAAGTCTTACGGAACAAACACGTAGTTTCTATGCAAGACCATAGGTCCACAAAAAAAGAAGCCAGACTTATATATATATATACTATGACTATCAAGAACATAGCATAAAACATGTGCCATGTGGTAAATGAGAGCACGGCCAAACCACGATACAAGTTAAGCGTGAACATGGTATAGAAGTAACCCTCACCAAAGCTGACCACGAGCAATGTACGTATGTATCACGACACCATAACACAAAATAAATGATCTGAGTTCCTTTTCACATTCAATTGAAATGGGAAACCAGTATCGGTATGAAATTGGTTTGCAATCGCGAAACATCTATATCGGCAAGAAACTAAAATGTACACGCAAATAATTATGAATATCAATATTGCGCTATGTTGCATACGGTTCCATTCTATTCCAACTGTTTAGATACATGCAAAATATACTCTACTCAACCATACGCTGGAACCACAAATCATCGCAACAGCACAAGATTGCGACTGTGTACTTCAAATACTTCAATCCAATAGATTACTTACAACGCTCATTTGTCTCGACCCCAGCCCCACTGCGGATGGCAGCGTTGACGTTAGAAGCCTTTTTCGCATCCGAAGCGCGTGTGGGCTTCTTACGGATTACCACTGTATCCCAATCTTCAGACATCCTGTATATATATGTTGTAAATATTGTTTACGTGTGTAGTGTACTGCAACTGGCAGGGTTTCGGTATGCGAGTTCTATTTATCTGTATTTTTTTTTTTACAAAATCCGAGAGATGCAACAGACCCTGAGCCAACTACTAAATAGACGAGGCCTGATGACCTGAGAATTGAGAATTTGAGATCCAGTGACCTCTCTAGAGAGTTCCAGAGACGGCCATGAAGAATCAACAACATGATGCTCGGTCTGAATTTTAGGAATAAAATCATTCACCCAGCTGATGTGGCGATCATTCAAAGCCTCCTAAAATCCTGATACGCGAGTCTAAAAAAAGACAAATTCAAAACCTTTTTGAAAAACAAATACTACACCACTTTTTGTTAACACAAAGTCTTGGTTGGAACTTCTCTCTCTTGTGGAATAGATACTACTATGCACTTAGATACAGTGCTTCACATAATAACACACAGTTGTTTAGGCTTCTCAATTTTATCTATTTCCACATCTTGTATCCTTTATAGCGGTGTAAACCAAGCTTCGCTAAAGCAATAATTGCAAATATTAACATTTGTATATATAAGCCAGGGTGAACATCACATTCATAAGGTTTACAGCGTGAACGTCAAAAACAAAGCAAATGGGCGTGCCAAAAACTGTAGTGATTCTTGCCTGTCAAGAAAACACGCACAACTACAGTCGTGGCTGCCAAGTAGCCGAGACCCTACATATCACACAAAGTGTTCACGGGCTACCTTTAATACAATGTATTCTTGAAACCATAGATTCGCTCGAGCAGATTACATCTATCAAACAGGTGGTTGTAGTAGGCCCACCTGAGCATGCACTCACGGTACTGAAGCTAATGAAGAACATTCGGGGTGATGATATAGACTCAGATACTGAATACGATGAGGTTACGTGTGTATCAAAAGAAATAGATTCATTGCACATAGGGAACCGCGGTGAAAGTAGCGCGGAAGATATAGATAGATATAGTGTGCATTATATAGCCCAATCGGATACATGCGGCGGTGCAAAGTGTGACGCAAAAGCGCTCGCCCTAGTTAGAGACAAAGGTTTGTTTATCAATAAGTGTGTGTTGGTACTGTCACCCAATTTTCCTCTTGTGACTAGTAGTAGTCTGGATATGCTGAGCGATCACCACGCCGATGAACGTACAGAAAGTAAGGACCACATGTGTACAATCCTGGTCAAAGACGCCAAGAAGATGCTGCCGGTGCCGTCGTCCGATAGGTATATCGCGTGTGTAGAGTGGGATAATATGCAAAGTCTATTACGAGAATATCTGGCGCTGAGTGACCCAGCGCAATGGTGGTACTATGTGCGACAACAGGCTATGCAACACGTAGAGTATGTGAATGTACGAGACGAAAGTGAGGTGAGGGAAGTGAACTCGTTCCGCTCCTTGGCTTTGGCAACCAAGGTAATGCGAGCCAACAACAACAACATGCACATGGACAATGGGGTGTATATCATCGACCCCGACACCACACACATAGAAGCGGGTGTATCTATACGCCCCAAGACCACAATACTTCCCAATACACACATTAAAGCAGGTACACGTATAGGGGAGGGGTCTGAAATAGGGCCTAATTCTATACTCGAGCGCGCGACTATAGGCAAGAACACACAAGTCCGCTTCAGCGTGATTTCCGAGAGTGAGATTGGCGATAACTGCACAGTAGGACCGTATGCACATCTGCGCAACAGTGTTTGTGTAGCGGATGAATGCAGACTGGGTAACTTTGTCGAGTTAAAGAACACTTCGGTGGGAACAGGCACATGCGTTGCACACCTCACGTATCTGGGAGACGCCAAGGTAGGTAAGGAGGTCAATTTCGGTGCGGGTACTATTACAGCCAACTACGACGGCAAGGACAAGCACGGTACCGTTATTGGCGATGGTAGTAAAACAGGAGCCAACTGTGTGTTGGTGGCACCTTTACAGATTGGCAAACAGGTTGTTATTGCTGCGAGTACCACAGTAACTAAGGACGTCGAGGATGGTTGTCTGGTTATTGGAAGGGTTCGGGCTGAGTCCAAGCCGGGATACAAAGCGAGCTGGGCACGAGGAGATGTCCAACCGAGTGCGTAGTATTACATGTATCGTATGACAAAACGGATACAGAGTAGTGAAGTATGATTATAGAAAGGAATTTTAAGAGTGAGAGACCAAATAAGGATTAAAAATAAAAGGAATACCCAATAAAACTTCAATATTGCTTTCTAATAAAACGCAAAGGGCTATGTAAACGCCTTTGCAATATATATATATATGTATATATATATATATATATATATATATATATATATATGTATACTATA